CTTAAGTAAATGTTACGGGGGTGGCCTAGTCATTTCCACGATTCTAATATTTTTACCAAGGGTATTCTTAACAAGCCCTATAATTTGTAATACATTGTGTTAAAAATGAAAATGCCGGTATGGCTTAGGTTTTTTTAAGCCGTGTGAGAAGCTGTTGCTTTGGTGATTATGAAAGTGCTTCTTTTTGTTTTAACGCAAAAGTAATATGGAGACGAGCGTTCATTAGGGCGAATTGGGTATCACGTGTGATTATCTATTATCCACTAAACATGAAACATTACCAATCTTTTTTGTATAATTTCTCATAGACTTTTCTTGATATATTTTTAAAACGATACTAAGTACCATAGATGTTTAAATTTTAACAATATATTCATTAACATTCCTCGCAATATATCTACAAATGAAGTTTTATGCACGCTGGAATACTTGAATTAGCAGTTACATAAACATCTATTATACTTATTTTTAGTTACTTCATGTGACAAACATTTATACGATGTTAATTTATATAACTCACAAAATATTGCATACAGGTCAGCACAGTAATGTGTACAAGTTACACATCTTTAAGATAACTATCTTTAGTATTTACATCGTAAACCTTACAGACCTAACAGTCCGTTCCGCGTTCGTTGATGAAGACACCGATGATCGCTTGCTACTTACGTAACCGGTGGTAGGGTCCGATTACAATTAGAAGAACACAGCTACGTCATCATTAGTAAAGTAATTAATTGGTTATCGCCACCTAATGGGGGTTTAGTGGAGTGTTAATATTATAGTAATATAGGAAATATTGTTTTACACCTAACAACTTAATTACTGTTTGTTTATTGAAAGTTATAGATAATATGCAAAGTAATGGTTATGGCGTAGCTGTGTTCTTCTAATTGTAATCGGACCCTAGTGTATTATTATGGGGCAGTCTGTTTCCCTGTATTCAGTATTTCATTCGAATTTCTTACTTTTACCTTCGATATTAATTTAAAGCAGCGTTACTCAAAGTGTGGTCCGCGGATCCCCAGGGCTCCGCGAAGAAAATAATAGTCATAATAAAAAAGCAGTACTATCGCTACAAAAGGGAGGGACTTGGCTTGAGGATTTTTTTTTTTTTTAGTTAGAAGTCAGTAAGAGGGAGCAGGATATGATTTTAATTGGAGGACTTTTTTTAGTCACTAAGAGAAAGGACAATATGATTTTGCTTGGAGGACCTTTTTTTTAGGAGTCACCAAGAGGAAGGAGGATATGATTTTGATTTTTTTGTGGGGCTCCGCGAACAAGGGGGAGGGACCTGGTTCGAGGCCTGTTTTTATTTTAGAGTCACTAAGAGAAAGGACGATATGGACCTTTTTTTTTTAGAATTGTGTTTAGGGTTCCGTCAAATATTTCGCTTTTCAAAAAGGTTCCGTTACCAAAAAGGTTTCGTCACCAAAAAAGTTTGAGAACCACTGATTTAGAGCATTGTACACAGAAAAAAAATATTATCTACATTCAAGAAAAGCTTTACACTTGGAAGATTATATTTGTTTGAAATAAATCAGAGTTTGCTTCAAATAATATTTCTCGATACAATAAGAAAATAAATGTTGAGTGAAGTATAGGCATAATCTTGTATTTTAAGAGTTATAATAAGTAATTTGAGAATAAATTATTTCATTCGAGTATAGAATTGTGAATTAATCCAAGAAAGCTCTTACGTTTATTATAAGTATGATATGCTCTTAAAACCGACTATTGCGTACTTGATTCAATGTTATAAAAGGATTCGATTCAAAGCATTTAAATTTCAGAACAAGAATTAAACAATTCGAATCAAAAACCTATGTACTTCACAAAAGATTAGCTAGTACAAATTCACTGCACGGTGTTGCCAGCAGAAACTTATTTTAAAATGCAACCACTGCACTGATACGGTAGATATATGACTGGCACATGTTGAGATGTCATACTTATTATTCGAAAGTCAGAAACACAACAACGCATTTATAGAGAATCTGGCAAATTGGCATTAGCACGTGTTCATCCTATTGTCCATTTTCTAACATGTTTGCATCGTATCGTTAGGGTTGCGTTTTACTTTTTGTTAGAAATTCTGTGTGATTCAATTAATAAGTGTATGAATAAATTAAATTGAAATGAAACATTTGTTAAATGAATGGGGCCTCAGCGACCTGATACCAATATTTAAATGTAAGTATATTTAGTTTACTTCTTGTTAGGTATTATTATGTATAAGTAAATTTATAATCATAAGAACACGAAACAAACTGGAATAGAAGTAAAAAAAAATGTATGATGCTGGATGACGACTTTTTGGAAAGACGACTTCTGTCTTGCTAAGACAAGAGGTCGTATCTACGAAAATTCTAATTTCAAGATTCTTACAAATTTAATAAGCTTACATTTTATTTTATAATAACACAAACTAATAAAGGCCTATTTTTATTAGAAAATATTTACTATATTTTTAAGAAAAGGTTAGTAAAATATGCAAAACAAAAATATTTATTTTGTAGATACGACCTCTTATCTAAGTAGGATATTTATGTTCCATTTAGGTTTAGAACTTATAAAGTTATTTTGTAATTTTAATTATAGGTGGGACACCTCAGAAGACAGAGGAATTTGGTATATTAACTAAAAACAATTTTGAAAAAAAATGTTTTTCGGTGGATAGGTACCAGTGAGAACCCTATTAAAAAGCATAACAGTCTGACCTTATTTTAAGATTATTAATTTCTTCAATGAAACTATCCTATAATTCAACCAAAATCAATATATTTATGTCAAAGATCATATTATTGTTGTAACAAATTTAGTTGTATTGGATTTAAGAACAAGGTATTACTGAATATAAATAAAGTATATTTAAAACATAATACTGCAATTGAGCAATAGATACTCTTCATTTAATTAGAGGTATTTTGGTTAGGGCAAGTTGATTCTAATCTTGAAGCAAGGCTTATTAGCTATTGTAGAACAAGTATTGCTAGAATTTCAAATTAAGACAAGTTTTACTTGCGGATATACAAACACAACAAAGCATTGAAATAATACCATTCGTCTTGAATATAGTACACCTTTTTTTCTGTGTATTATCATACTTTTTCTGTAAAATTTCCTGGAATTAAGAGTTTAACTTGTCTTCTAACTTCAAGTTAGAAGACATTTCTATTATGTTATATAATAGAGGGTGTTTCATTGGGAAATGGAAATCACTTATTTAAATTTTCTTAGATACGGATCTGTAATTGTAATTTTTATTTGTTTTTGTGAATGTTACTTTTAAATTAATTTTAATGAAGAAAAAATTATTAAAACCCCTTCAATTGCATTTTGCATAGATTAAAATTCTCATAATTTACATTTTAACGTTAAAATTTTGGTAGTAAAACGGAATGCGAAAAAATAAAGAGTTGATAAATGTATTGTTTTTTATGCTTTTTCCAAATTCAAAATTTAATTTTTTAAAAATTTGATGTACTTATAGGGTGTTGTTTTAGGGTTGGTCAAATTTTATTAATTTTTGTTAAGTCGGACCTGGATTTTGAAATGTTTTTAATGTGTATAAATTGTCCTGTAGGTGTAGATTATCTGTGCTAAATATCAAAAAAATATACTGAGTGATTCAAAAGTTATGGAGACCCATACAATATGGGTTTTTGTGATCCCCTATAGGTGACCTCTATATAGGGTTAAAATATTTCCCTTTCCCAATTAAACACCCTGTATATACAGCTTAGGTAAGCTGTGTTATGTAGATGAAATATATAAAATATTCATAACATAGTCCATATAAAATTTAAAAGACAATACATAAAAATAAAAAGGTAGGAACTGTATCGTATTTGGAACGTCACATTTGGTTCATTAATATGATTTTATTTTATGGGCTTTATAATAACATCTATAAAAAGTAAAAAGGCTTTCTTAAAAATGTCACATCTGGTTTGTTAAAAAGACATCAATTTTTGGTACTTTCAGTAACGTTGAAAAACGTAACGAGGTAGCGCCATAATATCACTAGAACGGTCTACATTGTTTCATCAAAAAAGTAAACGTTTCTACGCTAGGCTTAGACGCTTAAGTGTCCGTCCCATAGATGAAAACAAGAAGATAAGTTACAATATAACAATGCGCTGTATATGTTTCATTAAGTAAACCTTTTTTATGCATAGTGGGTTGTTTTTTAAAGGTAGCTATTTTGCGGATGAGAGGGTGACGTAACCACCTTGCCGATTTCAAACAATACGAGAAAGGCCAGAGACGGCTCGAGGCAAAACACATCAAATGGAACACTGATCAAAATGTTGACTTATCCCAACACTACGAATACGTTTTCATATGACGATGTGATTAACATTTTGGTTGAAAATAAATTTAGACTAAAAATTTGTGCTGCAAGCGAAAGGAAATCTGATTTTTTTAGTTGAATATCTATTACACCTCATACGCTATAATATATGTATGAGTTTTTATATTCTTTTGGAATTAAGTTTTTGTAGCATTTTATATGATTCTAATAAATATTTGCATAATTTTCGTATTCCCTAATTTAGTACATATTTTCAGTTTTGTAAAAAATATAGCATATATAGCAGGCGATTTGGTTCAGCCTATAGGCGGCACATTTGTGTATCCGCCCCTGCTTACAGAGGTATGTTAGGCCGAAATGATAAGATTAGTACGAGTGCCTACGTACTACGTACGTACCGTTTGTTTTAATTTTATTATTAAAACCCCACTTTGTGACAGATAAAAGAGACTGTGACCTAATTAAAGAACACGTATGTCGTGACAATATTAAGCTAGCATCTAATTAACGGATAATACTAAAATTGCCAAAAAAAAATATCAATAGGAGCTTTGCTGGATATTTATTAAATTTGACCGTACTAAGCAGACTTTAAACGTGAATTCGACAACCGGGCATAGCAAATAACTAGTTTATTACGAATTACGATCGACTCGCGCCGGGGTTGAGTTGTTGGGTTGACATCAAACCGTTATTCCCACTCGGCTTCGTCTTTCGGTTTAGCGCTTGGCAGTTGCTTTTTCGCATCGCCGTGGTGCACTATCGGAAGATGGCGGCATTTCGATATACGCACGCCGTTGTCAGCCGCTTGCCAATCTCGTTGCGGAATCGGGGCGAAATCGAATTGGAAGAGGCGAAAAAACAACATGAAAATTACGTTAGATTATTACGGGAAATTGGACTCGATGTCATCGAGTTGCCACCTGATGAGGCTATGCCCGAATGTGTTTTTGTGGAGGATACAGCTGTGGTCTGTAACGGGACGGCTCTGATTGCCCGACCAGGTGCGGCACATAGGACGCGAGAAGTATGTTTCATTGTTAAGATTTACTGTGAGGTTATTGAGCTACTACTTAATACCTAATGATAACTGTAATTGGGAATTGGGTCATCCACAATTTAGGTGTAAATTGGGTATGATGAGAGATTATGCAGCATGAAAAGTTGTTTTTTCTTTCATCAATAATTGAAAAATTCGTCCAGAAAAAGGTTGTGAAAATACCTATCCATTTTTTACCTGTAAATTTTCAGAAGCAATATTTAATATCAAATTAATTGAAATGTGTTTTATTGCTGTCACAAGAAGTGGCCCTATCAGGTTTATAAATTACGAATTAGATACCTATTTCGAGTAAAATGAATTATGTGAAATAGCTATGCAACTAGTTACGAAATGCCTTATTTTATGTAACGAGTGATATTTGCGGGACGAGCAAAGCAAGGTCCTGCAACATGTACGAGTTATATACATAAAATGGCATTTTATAACGTGTTACATACCATATTTTTCTAATTTTGACTAAATTACTTATAAAATTGTGTTTTGGTGAAATATTACTAACATCTAGGCAACCAATATTACTTTCTTGTATTGTTAGTTGCATATGCATCATTTTATTGATAAATAGAACATCATATTTATTATTTATTCTCAACGACTTGCAGTGTGTTTATACTGCTTATTAAAGTTATTTAGTTTTCAAAAAAGTGTGTTATTTTGTCATTTAGATATTGTGTTTTAATTATTTTGTGTTGATTTAGACTGGAAAATAAGGACCAAAACAACATTATTACTGTATAGGTTGTAAGTTAAACCAAACTCTATTTTTTTTAACTCAACCTGCCCTTCTTTGATATAAATGTCAAAATTAGAAAAAATATTAATTGGTAGTAAATTTATAAAACAAAAGCTAAAAATAGGTAAATAGTAATTGACACTGATGTATGTATGTATGTATGTATTAAATACCTAAAATTGCTTTCACAATTAATAATTTTTTATGCGTACCTACAATACATTTTTTCTTCGTAATTTATAGTTTTAGAGTTCATTGGTAAGATAGTTATAGTTCTAATAACTTAATCTTTTTCTGAAATAAGTATTGAAAATATTCTTTACCAGTTACTGACACTTGATTTCCCCTGTAATTGACACCAATAATTATTGACATAATTGTTCCATAACTGTACTTAAAAACGTGTTCCAGTTATTGACACTTCTTTTCTTGTACTAATAATTGTCATTTCTTGTACCGTACCAATGATTGACACGATGCCAATGAACTGAACTGTTAGATTTAATCAGTGGCGTAACAAGACATCGTGGGGCTCTGTTTCCAAATCTGTAATCTTTACCCTCCTAATCTCTATAATGTCAGCATTTTGTTTTGATGTTTACCGTTATGCAGATACAAAGTACAAAGCGCTCCATCGCAACAGGAGTCATTTCCTGGAATCCTAGACCTATTTTGAACATTTCACATTAACTACAAAAGTTTTCAAACTTTGCAATAGGTAATAATCGGCTGGTGTAAATAACACTAAGTTTAAATTTGCAACCATTTCCAAGGTCCGGAACTAGTTAATTTATACCAAAATGCTTTTGTTTATAATGTTGAGAAAAAAATTGCAAAAGTGCTGCAAACTTGAAGCAATATAAATTATATTATTTTCAACATTATATCAGATTTGCAACTTTTTTGAATGTCTGGAACATGATTTTTTTTTTGTAAAATAGCGTTTTTGCTTATATCATAGACAAAAAAATTGCAAAAGTGCTGCAAACCGATGACATAACTCATACAAGTTTTTGGAACAGCTATTCCAATTTGCAACCTTGCAAGGAAATATTTTTTTTTGTAAAAATATTAAAATAATTTTTATTTCCCTCTTATTTTGTTAAAAAAAATGCAAAAGTTTTGAAAATTGGTTCCAAATGTTAATATTACTTTTCTTAACAATCTGGTAAATTTGCAACCTCAGAAAAGGTCAGAAGCCTTGAAAAATTAACAAAAATCAACAATTCGCACATTTTGCAGTGGCCAAAAAATTTGAAAAATATTGCCAAAAAATTTTATAGAACAATTTAAATACTTTCCTAAAAATAAATGCAAATTTGCAACGCTCCAAGATTAATGCAAAGATTGAAATTGTCTATGACCAATTTTGCATTGCGAAATTAATAGAAAAGTTTCTAGGGTAACAAAAAAAATATTCATAAGCAATATGAAATTTGCAACCTTATAAACTATAAACTAATGTACATAGAAGAGAAAAAACAATCAATATCGTAAATCGAACCAATAATAAGAAATTACCCCACACTATTGTAAATATGCCATTTAGATAATAATACGTAAGGGTTTGTTTTGGATTATATCGAACCGCCGCGTCGGCGTCGGTCGATTGCAGTTTTGAAAAAATATCGCTATGTTATGTTACCAATTGAACTGGACGAGTGTAATTCACTGATTCGTGAAAAAACAGAAAAACCTGAGTAGATTTGAGTGAAATATTTTTATGACAACGGAAAATCAAATTAGTCGTTATAAAAGCATCCAGTGTACAACTCGAATGGATAAGTTTTGTTTCCAAAGTAATGGATTCGGAGCACCGTTAGAAACTTACTTTGTTTTCCCGAATGACGACACATTACCCGATAACGAATACCAAGATCCAGACTTCCCACATATCCAATTTTAAGAATCAATGAATTTAGAAGAAATTAATATTGAGATAACTAATGTTTTTGACAATCCTGGACCATCCGGTTGCAGAAACTCTCATAATTTAAATCATGTTTTGTTTTTGTAAATTTATTTAATTAAAACAGCAGTTTCATAATACCTTAATTTGTATATTATTTCCTTTCAATTTTATTTTGTAAAAATCAAAAAATATATCAATTTTGTTTGAAGTAGAACCAACTGTCTCAAAGTTTTAAATGATGTATTTCTTTGATGACAAAATACGGTTTTCCATTTCCTTGTTTTCATCAATAAATATTCTGTATATAATCAATACAATGATTATTTTAAAGTTACTAGTAGAACTTTCTTATCAAACAACAGTCTTGTGGGTCATTTAATGTTTTGTTATTTACTCGACCTTATAACTGAAACCTAAAATTGACAAATGAAAAAATAAAACTATACCTGCAAGAAGCTTTTAGCTTTTTCTCATTATTATTTACAGAAAAATGTTCATAATTTCTATAATTTTTACAACGATAAAAATCTAATAAAAAAGCGGGTGGAATCACAGTAGTTAATGTGATAAATACCAACCAATTTTTTTAGATGTTTGTTGAAGCAATCATAGAGAAACGAATGAACGTTTAAAATTTATTGACAAGTGGTCCCATTAATAAATGTTTTCCTATTTTTCACATTAATTTAAAATTACGAAATATAAATTTTGCAAATGTCCTTCATGTTTAATATATTAATTTTGTGACAGTGTTACTAATTGAGCTTACATATTTATGTTTTGATCCGATTTTTTTTTTTCAATATCAGATACAAATATCTGTACATAGTTCTGTCCATTGGCGGATCGTGACCAAAATTTTGGGGGTTCACAGTGACAGAATATAGATATCAGTACAGATGTATAAAAAAACTTTCAGTGTTTTAGAAAGTTTACAATATACCTTTCTAAAACACTGACACTTTTTTACCTACATCTGTACCGAGGACGTATAGGAATCATGATTTTTTTCGACCTAGAGTTTTTGACGGATTTTTACGATGATGTCTATTTTCGCGATGATGTCTCTGTGTGTAAGCTTGTGCGTGTGCGCGCGTGCCTGCGTGGGAGTGTGTCTGTATCCACGATAACTCATGAACGGATACAAAAAAAAACACCAAATTTTAAATTTTTTTATTCCGGCCTGAGGTGAACTGATTAGATTTAGGGCAGAGTCGAAACATCTGAGGGTACTTTATAGGGGGTCATTTTCATATTTTATGGAATATATCTCTTATTTATGTTTAGAAAAGAAAATTGTTTAAATAAAAGTTACTTCTTATATTATAATCTATAATTTTTGTTCTATAAAAAATTTTCCTAAAATGGTCCGTATTCGAGAAATTTTACAAAATGTAAAAAATTCAAATTTATAAGAAAATTCTTTAAATAAAAGTTGTTTGTGATATAATTCTCTATAATTCTTATCCTATACATAATTTCTCTAAAATTAATCGTATTCGAGATATTTGAGAAAAAGTGTAAATTTTGAAGAAAACTCAAAAACGGATAAAGAAAAACCATTAAATTTGAAACTTAAGCTTTTTGCGGCCTGTGGTGAATTGATTAGATATTGGGCAGAGTCGGAGCATCTAGAGGGGGGGTACTTTATGGGGGTCGTTTTTATAGTTTATGGAGTATATGTTATTTATGTTTCGAGAAGAAAATTCTTTTAAATATAAGTTACTACTAATATTATTTTCTATAATTCTTGCTTTATGCAAAATTTTCCTGAAATGCTCCGTATTCGAGAAATTCAACAAAATGTGCAAAATTCTGATTTCTAAGAAAATTGTTAAACTAAAAGTTGTTTGCGATATTGATCTCTATAATTTTTGTTTTTTACATGATTTTTCTAAAATGGGTCGTAATCATTAAGCTAGAATAAAGTAGAGACGACATTAACATTATTTTGCGATAAGACAAATGGTTGCACTTAGCGATGCTAAGAATGACAGAAAAATGTAATTAAAATGGCGACTTAGACAGAGTCGTACTTTGATTGATTTGAAGTCAATAATTTTATATTTAAAGATTGTCGGAATGAACCTGTTTAACTAATGTTAAGAAAATATATTAAATATATTGTTAAAACAAATTGCTTTTAACTCCAACAAATATTTTTTAATTAGGGTAAATGATTTTACCTGGGTAAATGATTTTACCTAGGTAAATTAAGTCAGTTTTGTTCTTTAAATAAAACCATCTTATTACTATGGTGCCAAAATCTTCTTTTCTCTAGAAGATATCTCTTCAGGAAAAAAATTTCATGTTCTGGAG